ATTCATAGAACTATGAGTATATTATATATTTAGACTTAGTATATAAACACATTTACAGGTGGACATAATGCCTTGGCCATTTTCTTACAGTCGGCATTGTTTTAGCATGGTAGTTACCATATAGAGATTTATGTTGCAATTAAAAATATTTATGAACAAACCCAAGCTTCTTACTCCATAACCTGGTAAAATAGTAATCATAATTATTGGTAAAGAAAGTACCAAATGTCTGAAAAAGAAAAGAGCTTCGTACTCAAAAACTCTTTCAAATCTTAGCCCTTAATGTCAATTACGAATACTTATTACTTACACGTAAGGTAAAGAAGTTGTTAGAAACATGGCAAGCCTCTCACGGCGCTTTTACTCAAAAGAAAAATCTCATTCACTGCGGGAAAATTTAAGAATACAAGGACAAGTCTGAAATCATTACGTAAGCATGTTTCTAGCTAGGTAAGCCTGCGACTTTGCGTACGTTGGAATTATGCGAAAGTAGAGGTAAATCATTCAATTCATCATTATCGTCAGTTATAAAATGCTCCAAAGTCCTCTAGTTGAACGACAGCTCGCAACTTGCATCCGATGTATCAACAATTAATTTCTGTAAAAAATAATTAACAAAATTATATTTAACGACATTTCTTTTCAATTACTGATAAGTTTTAATAAAGTGTAAAATTCATTTATATTTCACTACGACGTATTTCACATTTGAAAATATCTTTAAATGCCCGGTATTTTATAAACCGTAGACGAAAGTTTTTAAATGAAATTAAAAGCCAGACTGCGCCGTTACTGCAGAATTTTTGCGAACATGGCGAGGCTTTACAAAAATAAATACTCCATACATTCCGACTTTTATTCACTAGATAAAAGTCAATGGGAAACGACTGTTGGATTCCAATGAATAACAGTTAAATATTCGAATTGCTGGCGGGTTTTTAAAGTATACAACAATACTACCTTTTTCCAAAAAATTAACATACTCTAGATAAATGTAAAACTAGATTTTGAACCTCCTCTAGTGTCTGTGATTTTTTATGGAATAAGCAGGTATACGAGCTGACGGATCACTTGACAGCAAGCAATCGGTGCCGCCTATGAACACTCAAAACACCTGATGTGTTTGTTACGAGAATGCGTTGCCAGCCTCTTGGGGATTAGGAATTTGAGGATTGTTGGGGATTCCGGTCTTAGGAAGGTTGGCACTTTGGGGAGATCGTGCAAGTAACCTCATTCACACGACGAAACACAACACAAGCGTTGTTTCACGTCGATTTTGTGTGAGGCCGTGGTATCATTCCGGTAGAGACGGGCCATTCGTGCCGAAGCATGGCTTTCGCACACTTGATTTTGTATAATTAACCTAATTGCAAATTTGGTTCAACAAACTTTTTTAATGTCTATTGTATGATAAAAGAAAGACTAGGGACGTATATTCATTGGTAATATACAATCTTGTATACTATATATTAGGTAACGGAAGGGACTTATAACATGATTAAAAACAAAACACACTGATTGCAATACTGCTGTTAGCAGTCGATCGAAGCTGCAAATTGAAAACCAATTCCACATAGCTCACATCGGAAATTAAACGAGAAGCCATATTATGCTTAACAGTTCTTTGTGTACACAACTAATGGGATAATTTAGTAAATATGTTGTCTAACATAATGAACATTTATAAATTTCCATCATCAGCCCTAATGACTATTTCATTTGGCACGCGAACGCCTAAATCACTTTCATGGAACGTCTAATGGTTTACTTTGAAATTATTTAAGGAACACATTATTAATCTATTACATTCTACAAATATTATTCATCAACAATTAGTAAAGGTACATTATGCATCCATGGAAGAAACTGGAATCGCGTACTTCTAACCCTCTAGAAATCAAGGATTAATACGTCATTGAATTTGAGAATTCGAATGTGAGACATCCCTGTACAATTGATGCATGGTAAAAACCAAGTAGAATCGCATACTTACTTATATAGCCTAGAGCTCTCTAGGAAGCTTATGATTTCCAGCTATTGGATGAAGTGAATGTGAATCCTCAAAGTAGGTACCGAGTTTATAACTTATTAGACGAAGACTACTTATACGCAAGGCTCTTTTGATACACGACTATGAAGTGAGTTCAGCATGAATGACCCTTGGAATTACCGATTATTCGATCGAACATAGAATTATTAGATTTACTTATACTTTCCCTGGTTTCATTTTTCTCATCGCCTTCTATTAATAAACGTCTAATCACAATAATATTATAAATGTTTCTTTGTTTGGATATTTTGTCCGTCAACCACGCCGACTATACTGTTCGGATTATGATGAAATTTGGTATACAGGCAGAGTATGGGCTGACTTAGGTGATAAGATACTTTTCATCCTGATTAAATGCTCCCATAGGGTAGAATAGTAATCATCTTCTACGCTTTTATAATAATATGTAAAATTACTACTAAAGTAACGACAGGTTATACAAGCTAAAGGTTTTGGTAACTTGTTAAAATATGATAAAACTGGATTTGAGTTAAAATGCTTCTATTGTAATGTTTATTTAGAACTCTTATCTCGTTATCATACCTTTACATTTCTCTTCACGTGGTATTTATAGTAAAAAACGTTGTGTAAGCGATTAAACATCGTTCAGAAGTCCACATTAAACCTATTGTCCAAGTTTTGTTAAGTTTAATTGTTATAGAACTCTAAGAGTTGGTGTGAGGATTCAAAACAATAGAAAATTATTACTAACCGAGACCGCAAGAGTGTCACAAAGGAACGTCAAACAGAAAATTATATAGAAGTAAGTATTTATAATAATAAGAGATATATAATAATAAGTTATCCTTTGTTTTATTTCATGTAATAAATAATTAGTACTGTTCCATGAATGGGAAGGATGAAATAATACTTTTTATTTAATAAACATTCTTTCATACAGACGTGAGAATGATGATAAAATAATCGTATAAAATTACTCGTGGCGTTAGAAGTACGGTAACTGTTTAAAGTCTATGAATAAACTATCGGACGTTCGATTGTATGAAAACTAAACATTACTAGTTAGTACTTAGATGTGTACTTACGAGGCCAAACATCTCGGATTCTTATGTACTTATATACATACGCAAAAGTAGCTATGTTGTACGCAAATTGCTTGTATTCAGTAGCATTGTATTACTGGACCCTTTCCTTTTATTCAAACAGAAAAACCAGGATCGATCTCATAAATAACCACTAGATTATTAAGCCAGAATATGGCTACTACTAAACAAAGGCTATCCAATTTAAAGGAAGTCTTCGTGACTATGAAGCGATTTGGACTACGCTGCTGCCCACCCTATAATCCGGTCGCAGTTTTCGGACATACCCTGGTCCGGGATATTTCCCCTTTGAGTGCAAAAATTACAGTTGCAACCCAAACAAGGCCAAAGGGAGGTCGGAAAAGTCATTATCAGGATTTTCCGAATATTTTCACCCTTCTGGTGAAATTGGATACGAGACCCACTAAATAAAATAACATGACCTATGCATCTATAGTAAACTATATACTAGAAAAGACGGATGCAATAAAATCTACGTCTACTACATTTTCATGTTTATGAAATACAACAACAAAGAAGTCAGTGATAACAAGACATACTTTATTTGCTCCGTTGCTATGGTGATTATCTCGATCAAGTGTTTCTGTATATGCGTCGATTATATCGTTTAGCGATGGTACCACTTTTTCTAGATATTTCATCTGTTTGATAAACTATTTTTAATGTACTTTGATAGCGATTAAATGGTCACGTTGTTTACCAACTACTTATCTAGTGGAACAAGGGCTTCAATATAATCACATTTAATGTTATATACGAAGCGAAAATATAATTTTTATGCTTATAAACGGCTCAAAAATTAAAACATTGAAAACCTTTTCATGTCTACTTATGTACAATTACAACAAATTACAGACTTTCCTGGAATTGCTTGAAAGAATTTATTGTCGCCGTTATTTACACTGAAAAGACACCATTACAATCAGTCGTTGCCGTGTAGGTACATTGTAAAGTAGTCAGCACTACAGTTTCTGATCTTTGTATGGTTTATGTATGAATGTAGACATTTCATACACTCTCCATAAAACTACCAACGAAAACTATACATATACATACACATAACATATATATTCACGTTATAGGTACACATACACTTAAACGTAGGTACTAGTACAAAATATTCAGCTCGCAATCTCATTTGCTAAACGATTATTATAGACTTTTTATTACTAGATTAGCAATGTTAATTCTGGAACAATCCGACTATGGATTTCATTACTTTCGAAACTTGCTACATTTTCCCTAAAGTACATGTTACATAACATTATAATCATATCATTATGTACTTCTGGCTCAATGTTTTCTCGAAGATACACATAACGAATGTGCCTGAATATCATACCAGGTAGATAATAATGAAATGTTCTAATAATCTGTTAACGGTTATCTCAAAAATAGATATTATTCATGTCGCATTTGATTTATCCTGAACCTACTACATTCAAATGAACATAAATCTTGCAAATCCGAACAGTACAAACTCCCTATAATAACTAAATAACATGTAAACAACAGAGAACCAGTTGTAAATATTGATCATATTGTGTCAAAACACGATAACACGAAGTTTCATAAAGTTTAAAACTGTTCGGAGTTATAGCTGCCGGTAACGACCCAATTCAAATTAATGTACCTTGAGCGGGAAGACCTAACTATGGGTGGGACTACACATTGGACGACGCTCCCTCGCGGCATAAGCACTGAATGAATTGCTGACAGTTTTACATGCAGTGGCAACAATGTACGAGCACGACAGATCTGTTCCATTTTGACACTTATGCTTTGCTGATAAGAACTAGGATAGTATGCTTGACGTGCACATTTGTACGCAGCGTCGTGCTCCCACCACAACGCAAGCGCGGGGAGATGCGCGCGCATATATTCACCAGCGCTTCGCACGAACACCAGTCAATCCTTAGATCGCGAAGCGGAGCGATCGAATCAGTTGAGCGTTCCGATACTTCGCACACGAGCAACACTACGCTAGTTTCCGCGCGTTACGCAGCGATCGTGTCGGGGATTTGAATTAAGGTATTGTAAAAAATATTTTTTTCGATAAGTAAAGCTTAAAAATATTTTTTTGACTACGTCGGAGTGCGTTCGGTGTTGTGCATATTTTATCAGTCGAGTGGTACGTCGTGCTCGTGCCGGGTGTGGAAACTCCCCGGCGACCTGGCAGCACGTGCCCGCGGAGTGCTCGCGCCGCTCGACCACCACCATCCGGCTGCAATGCGAATTGCATCAGCTCCGACCAAAATATTTGTAGTTCACACCAAATGCGCTCGCGGTCTACATGCTTTGCGAACTTTTTTATGGCGAAATTTTTGAAAGAAAACCAGCTCAGTCGAACTGTCACAAAATATAAATAACATGTAATGATTTGACCCGCATCTAGTCTTGTATTCAAAGTAATGTTTATGTCCAACAACCAAAATATAACTCATAAAAGTTGTGCGCGAGGAAAAAGTTTTAAAGTAACTCGTTTGTTTAAATTTAAAAAAGTAAACTGGATCTCGGTTACTTTTAGGGCAACTGGAACCTGTCCAAATATTTAAGGACAAGAAACATGCCCAGACTCGTGACTTTTAACTCATAAAAGTGAACATGAAGTTTTTGAACCCGGATCGTAATATGAATGTTATGGTGTCGTAAAGATATGTTTTCCATTAGATAAAATAAATCTCTGTCGAATTAATATTTAAGTACTGCGTAATAAATATTGCTTTGTATTTGTGGTAATGTAACATCGTAGAGGTAAACAGTGAGTTAGTGCGCGCCTTTGTGTAACTCACTTTAAAGTTCTGCGTGAAAATAAACTGGAAAAAACTTGCTTAATTTTTTAATAATATTTCAGAGATTAAAAAAAAAGAGTTTGCGTTCAGATTATTTAGTTGAAAAGAATTAAAAGACGTTCAAACCGCCGGATTCTCTGCTTAAAGCCTTAATAAAATTAGACATGTTTGTTCGTATGTACGTCAGAAGGAATAAAAAGCACATAAAAATTATATTGATCAATAAAATTAATATCGTATCAGCGTAATAAAATTTTAAAATTCGTTAAAGGGCAGGAAAACCTGGAGGCTATTTAAGAAGTTTAGTTTTCGTACGCACTGATTTTGTAAATTATGTTGGCAAAACTTACGTTAGACTTAAAATTACGTTTCTAAAGAGGCACAGCCAGGACGTTTGGAAATATAAGTAGATTATAGATTCTTACGATAATTTAGTAGTCGGTATTGTAAAATATTTTCCGAATACAAATATTTTCTATTCACTAGATTGACATAAAAACTCAGACTTATTCATCGTTGCCTATAATACAAAACAGAAAACAACACAATCTAGGGCAATTATTGTAATTATTATATTGATCGCTGTTCACCTCAATTTCGTTTGTTGTTCGACAAATAGCTACAGATTTTTCCTTCAAAGGTAAAAGGTATTTAGAGGTATTTTATAAGGAAACTCGTTAAAAGTAATTTATTTGTTAAATAAGATCAGTCAGTTTAGTATAACTCGGTAAAATTTTAAGGATCTAGTTTCCTTACATTGAAAACTGAATATTAAGAACAAAATTAAGAATAAAAATCCCGCTTACAAATACGATACACACAAATACTACAAATGAGCTATTGAGGCATCCCACAGATTCCGGGGAAAATTTCATCATTTACCTACGATAAAAGTTGAAATGCTCTGATTTAACTCAATTTCGCTTAAAAGCCCGTCATTCAGCCAATCAAAAACGCCGGGCACAGCTATCAATGAGGAAATCTGTATTCGAAAGTTTATTTTTTACTGCAAAGCGTGAAAAGCTTTGAGAGTGTTGAAGTTGGAGTGGTATCACAATCTCATTCAGTGGGGTTGGTTTTTCTGCGTCCACACGGCCTCGGTCATGGTTAGGTGTTTAGGTATTTCGAAAAGCAATAAAGTGTGTAAAAATATGTTCATGTGCCGGATGCGGCTGAGTTTCAGTTATTGCGGACGAGAGGTCAGTAACATTCGCACGAGGAGCGCACTATATCGTCACAGGGAACACCCGTGCAATAAAAACAAAGAAAATAATGAATCATTCGTCCTCCGTCGTAACTCGTACCGTCGACGGGTAAATAAACCAGATTTATTTTTGGGCCCAAAAACCTTCAATCGATCGTAAGTTCTATTCTCGTAGCACTACCATCTCGTGATGTAGATCATCTGACTTTTCACCGAACACGTATACTATTTGAATAACTGTCGAACACACGTTAATATGATGTAAATAAATTCTATGTAGGTAGCTACTAGACCCTTTAGCGGAGCAAACTGTGTCAAGGGTTTTTACATAATAGTATGCACGATATCGCAAGAAATACCCCGTGTTAACTATTTGACTCTCAATGTTAGTACGAAGTTGTACATTGTTCACTACTGAGGAAGTACCCATGTTGATAATACAAATATTGAAATATTCTCTTACAAAGGGCCCAATGTAACAATAAGATATTTTAATCAGAGAAAGTAGTTCTAGGGTATATTTTAACAATCTTCTAAAATTTCATTTGGAACAATGATATTTATTCGGGCGGATAAGCCAAGATCAGCTTTTAGTTTTTACATGGAGTACCATATCGGTTTTCGAAAAAGAAATGATACTTTATTAACGAGAAATAAGTATGGGAATCGTTTAATTTTACGCTTCAATGAAACTTAATATGCTACCATACCCATAAACAAGTAGGTATAGATGAATGTGCACAGCAAGACCAATCATTCGCTTTAATGGAAAATCGCCACACAGATTATTGTGATAAATACTCAATAGCTGCTATATGTATTACTAATTGCTTTAAAATATTTATTTTATTTAAAACTAAACTACAATCAATAATTGCTTGTTTACATAGCTCGTTTGTATCCCAATGACTTTGCCTTTAAATGACTATAATAAACAAATTAAGTATCAAAAACTCCCTTTCAACGATGCTTAACGAGCTATTTGCTGATTTTAATGGCAGTATCACTTAATTACAATAGAAATTAGACTTAATTACGGTGAACTAAGGTACAAGAGAAATATGTAAACATTTCTTTACACTGAAACTATAATTAAGTCTGAACAAAAAAGTTTTTAATTCCGAAGAGACACACGGTTAACTGTCTGACCTAAATACAATTCCGCGTACAGTTTTTCTTATAAGTGGCGAGGTGGTACAAAAAGTGCCCATTTAAAACGCAAGGTAATATACCAGAGCCGCTTATTAGCCCCGCTGAACTTCCGGAAACTTTTGCGTCGTTTTTATTTAGAATTTTATTATTCTTAAGTCGAGGACTTTAGAATTATAATTTTAATTAACTAACAGCTGACACCTTGATTAAATTATCTTTGATCAGCGGTCGTTGGTTGCTAGCCACTTCGCCAGCCCACCCCGGTGTGGCCACCGTTATCGTTCACTCTAACGCTTGTTTTGAATGTTATCAGTAAATCCGCCCGCGTTGTTGATCCCTTGACCCAAAAATAAATGCGATCATTATTGCGTAAATTGTCATTAATCTAGTCGCCTTCAGTATTGATAATCAGTTGGTGGTTCACGGCTGTTTGTGACAAGATAGCCGCAGTATTTGAGCTTATCGATCTCCTCTAATATCCAACCAATTGGTAATCAAGCATTGATTCTTGTGCTGTTCGAGGGCTACGTGACGTTTCAACAGACAACACAGCTATCCTTATTAGCTGCATACTAACAGGGAAATGATGCCACATCCCGGAATGATATCAATCTCAATGATATACAGTTTGTTGAGTTAACCGTTGCGTTTATAACTACGCCATGCTATTTTCATTAACTAAACTAGCCCAAGGGCCACACAACATTTTGTTAAAATACCAGTAATTTCATAATTCCGCTACGCATGTCTAATCAGACTTGTAAACAAAGTTGTTTTTGTTATTGTAGGTAGAGCCACATATTATTCTCATTTGTAATGTTTACCATGATTTTCCTAGTAAATCTGCGATAAAAAATTGATAGAAATACCTACACAGTAAACAGTGTTTTTAATGTATCAGTGATGTCACAAAGTTTTCTATATATTCACAATAATTACAATCAAAATCCGGAACAGTAACATGAATTATAAATATCAGTGTTCAAATTTCTTTTATGAGAGTAATAAAAAGTATCGATTTGATTGTATTTGTTGATATTTCAACATATATTATTATGCAATAAAGCATCGAGCCGTCATGTTGTGGGATCGGCTCCGATCGGCGTAATATCTTCAGGTCAAGACCGTTTCGATGTCTCGCAAAAACAGTCGATAGTTCCAGTTTTGTTAATGACGAAACGAGTTGTACGTGTACCAGTCACTTGATAACCTATATACTATATATGGATATATGATAATAACATACTTCGTGACGATTACTCGATATACATAAGAAAAAGTAGGTACATTCGCACATTACTTATCAGTGTTGTGCTAGATTTCCAGTGCAGTTTCTGAAAGAAGGCTAATTCAATTTGAACAAGGACAACTACAATTATCACACAAATCATACATGTCTTTATTACCACTCGTCTTAATTCATTTGTATACAAATGTGATTCTATGCAGGTAGCTTCGAGGTGCATTTAATTTAGAATATCTTTCGTCGAAGAATACCTTGACATTTATTAATCATACCTACATGGCGGCTCAATCGGAACAAAGTGGCATAATGTCGAGATTTGAGATCGAAACAAAGGTACATGAACTGCATAGATATCAATGACCGAATTATTCTCGTTCTTTGTAAGCCGCGCTTTATCTCCGATCTTTAAATAAGTGCGTAAACTGGGTTCTACGTTTTCTTTGTTAACCACCGCTTTAGAAACGTTGTTTTATCTTTGTTTAATTCTGAATGTTACATAAAGATCTCCAAAAGAAAACTCAAACAAAGGGCAGTTTGTTGTTGGATAAATAAGAAAAAAAATATACAGGATTTTTATAATCGGTATATTTATTAGACCGAAACTATGGAAACAAACAAAGATGTGTTTGTTTAGGTCCGCAAAGCCGACCAGTGGCAGCGGTTCATTCACGCATTATATTTTCCGCACGTGAACTAAATATAACACGTTCTAAATAATAAAGAAGCAGTGGACCGCTGTAACGCGTCGGGCGTTGAGCATCAGCTGAGCACACCGCAGCTAGTGACCTAACACGAAAGCGCTGCGTGAAACAGTCATCGCCCTCCTTTTGATGACAAGGCCAAGGACAGAACTGTGTAATACATACTAAACATAATAAACAAACGCAAGCGCATTGTGAGTAATGTACTAGATGTTCAAGTCCACCGCATAAAGGCTTTGTGATCCTATCATTACCGGGTACTTACGCATGTACATCACATAGCTAGGCAACGTGACTCGCACATAGGCTCAACGAGTTAAGTATAATACTAATGAATTGTCACTAATCAGTCAAATGTCACGCTTATGACTAGTGATCCATTGTCATGCAGCCACGACCAGCATAACAACTCGCGTTACTTACCTACGTTGTCAGAACATCCGATCTCTGAAAGAAAAATTGCGTCACTATTATCACCATATCGACATCGGCGTAATACAAATGAGCCATTACATTAACCCACATAGATAAAACTGAACATGTAAAATGTCAACACTTGATAACGGGAGTGTACATAACACTCGATACGAAAACATCGATGTATTGTAATTACCTACACTGTACTAAGTGAAAACAGAAAGACAGTGATCAGTGTTTTATAAATAACGTGGCACGCTTTGGATTACTCGTCCATTTCATTTATGGTGGTCTCGAATTCTGCATATCATACGAATGCACGTGAATAAGTTGCATGCGCATAGAAACTGTAAATGACGCTTCATTACTCAGTCACAGCACATGTAATGTGTATCGTAACTTAGAGATTGCGCTATTTCTATTAATACCTTCAGTTGGCATATTGTTGATATGCTATTGAATTACAATCGCGCCATTATTGTCAGTTTCATGACACCTACTTATTTATTAGCCACATTAGTTCGCATTATGATAGATAGATTGATATCAATTAGAACCGCGCACACGTCAGCTACTCAGCTGATGAGATTTTAGGACATTGATACACAGTGCGTACATACCACACACACATAGCATACATGTATATTGTATATGTCAGTGTCCTATATCTGAAATCAGTTAACACATATTCAATGTCATCTCCAGCTATTACCTTCTGGTAATAACTAGAAGAAAATGGTTCTGATCTTGGCAATGTTTGATAATCGTGAATGTAGTGTGTATACAAAAAATCGACACTAGTAATATTATTTGCGAAGTCTATTATGTCCATTATCACATTTCGTAAAGCTATGGTGTTGTAAAAGTAAATGAATGTGGGTGGTTATTGGGTTTATCATGGTTAGAAAGCAAAGCAATAATCATAATAACTGAGCACTCAACGTAATGTAGCGCGGAGTGTAATAAGAAATGAATAACTCCAAACTTTGGCCCTGCGGTGACTACCAAACAATGCTAATGACTACTATGTCTATCGATCGAACCGACTTAACCTTGCTTTCCATCTATAGATAACAACTAATGTTCCTAACTTTGTTTACTATTGCTATTCTACGACAGTAAAAATGTTTACATAGATAATGGAATTATTACATTATAGTTTCACTATAAATGGGCATTCAGCATTACATCGCGAAACTTGTTTGTTATTGTTACCAAGCACATAAACCTTGCGCGTAGTATCGTGTATCGCGGTAGAAGCCAGTAGTCATCAAGAAAGTTTCCGAACTATTGGGAATTTTCCCAGATCATACATTTGCCAATAAATAGCCATTAGTTGCGCTATGAGATTTACAGTTTATTTGTTTGCACACATACGTACTAATGACGCGGTATGTTCTCGCGTGTAAGATGTAGACGTTTCCTCTGATAAGTGTTTCTACTAAAATACTAGTCACTTATGGAAAATCAAGGAAAGATACTTATAAAACTCGATCGCCTTGGGCAGCTTGCTATCTAAAACGCGCTTTCATAAGAAAAGTGCTAATGTCATCCAGGTTATTTTAATTCGTGTATCAACTTTGTTGAAGAACGTTCTATTTGCCCGCGTTTCCCTACCTAGTTCTTTCGTTCAAAGTCGTTTCAGTTCGCCCGTGACGGTGGCATTACGTTGCGTGCGATGTGCACACTGCTGGGTGAACATACGCAGAGTTCCTCGTCATCGTTGTTTGGGCAACGCGCCAATCGATTTCGTGAAATTGCCGTTGTTATGTGTCAAGGGTCTGTTTATTTTATTACCACACAGGAAAAACTTACCCAGAAAATGAAACAATTAAGATTTATCTTTACTTAACGTCATGTCGAATAACCAATAATGTTCATTGACTTTGCCTCAACCATAATGCTAATTAATTGACATAATTAACCAACAGATTGATTTAAAATAAATTAACATTAAATATTAATGTTTTAATACTAATATGACAATATTATAATTTATTTAAAATATATCTTTGTCCTGTCCTCTACTTAAACTTCCGATTAAAATAATAATAATACCTAATTTTTTTCTCAATCACGGATATAAATCTCAATATATAAATAAATCTAAGCTTACAACGCAATTAATGTGTTCCACACAACACGTTTGTTTTATTGACTTGTAGGCATTTATTTATAGTATTTCAAATGTCAAGGAAAATATATGTAAATATTAAGTACCTGTAGGTACAATCTAATTCCAACTACTTAAATCTATTATATCTGTAACATTAACAATAACTTCAAATTTAAGTTCACCTGTACATAGTTACATACTGTCGTAAGAGGTTACAGCAAGAAGAATTTACTAATAATATCCCTGAAAGTTTGTTATTATGCACCAAGCAACGCTACTAAAGTGGCTATATAATAATATTAAAACGTCAGTAAGTCAGTATGTTTATCTGGTAGCTATTTTCTCTGACACACAGTTTATTTCCTGTTATACGACCGATATTGATTTATTTATGTTCGCATTTTTCCTTCTCTAACATCAAACCATTATTTATACAATGTTTTATTACATTTATCTATTCATATATTTTATAAACGCTGACGATCTATTTTCTTATACATTGAAAACTAAGTGTTTTCTCTTTTGTTACAGATTTGCACGTTTTTATAAGGCGTAAAGATGACTGACTCACACGCTAAAATAGAAGGTAAGGCTTGTACGAAGGGCGTTCTACACGAATACACGTAGATTTCTAATATTATCCACTAGGACAACATACAAAGTTTGTTATAATTGGGGTTTTCTTACTAATAGAATTATACCTAGTTCTTATTGAAATCGAACCGAATTTTATGGGATTCATAAACATTACTGACAGAAAGTGGGTGTAGTAAACATCTTTATCTGCTTATATCCGGGAAAACCAGACCAGATGTTCTGCTTTGTTATGTAATAGGTCAGGCCAGCCATCCAACACAAAAGAGTTAGCTCCAAGACGGATTGTGTACAAACATACGTGTACAATAACTCAATTTCAATGGACAACCGTTTAGCGGGCGCACTCCATTATAGCTCCTATCCGTATGATACCAATCATACCAACAAACATCTTTGTTAGTCTACTAACATTACTGTTGTACGCGCATAAGGTTTATTTCCCAGTAGTTACACAAAATGCATTACAATCAAATTTTTTATGCTCTTCCGAAAATTGACTTCATACTGCGTCAAATTGTTAGATTGGAAACGCATTGGGAATGTGGATATTAAGTACTTTGTTAATGCCTCTAGTTGTATAGTTTTCATAAATTAACGATATTGTGATAAATTCGCAATTCTATGACAAATAATGTAATATAATTATGTTCGACGAGTGACTTCGAAGAACATCATTAAGCCGTCAGTCGGTCAGTCTAAAACATACGTAATAAAGTAGGCTTTAGACGACCTGAAACTTTTATGAGGCAGGTACGCTGAAACGTTGTAGCTTTCACCTTTCATTGAAGATTTATGCTCCACATTGTTTCAAAATTCCACTACAAAGTAGGTCGACAAAAGATTCCTAGAGCCTCTTTCCAGGCTCTTTCAGTCTGGCCTTTGTATAACGAGCAATTAACATTTTTTTTAATTAAAACTAGAAAAAAAGTAAGCTTTCATCATGTATGCTAGGTAAATTTTTGGATTGTTCCGACTTGACACATTAATTCGCTAAATAGCAAGCTAACTACACTATTTGTGGAGTAAAGTTGGAACGATTTACAGTAATCTTGTGGACAGTCCTTGGGTGTAATAAAATAGTTAATTCAGTAATATTCAACCTAAGGCAAGGCTCTAATTGTATGAATGTACAGCAAAGGGACTCAATTACGGTGTCTGTTCGTCGGCGTCGGTGTATGTTACGGAATATTATAGTCACCGCAGAATGTAACCCACACCAGCCCGTACCTTGCGAGCTCATCAAAGAGTCTCATCGTGTACTAGTAATCCAAGCCTGTGAGCAAAGTGTCAGCAAAGGTCAGAACTGCAATAGCTAAGTGTCAGTTAAATTCCTCAACAATATGCACATAAATGAAAAATTCGCTCATAAGCTTAATTCGCTCAGTATTTTCATACTCACTGAATTTCTAATTTTTTATAGAATTAGAATTTGTTAAAATTCTTATTAACATAAAATTATGTTTTTCTATAGAAAATAGAACTTTCAGCTAATTAATCCTCTTGACGTTCCGCTAAAGCCTCTTAGTTGGCGTTTTCGTGAAATTCCATGGTTAGTTTTCTGAAACCCGCTTTTCATAGTGTTTCTCTATTCAGTTTAAGTTCCAGGAACTACCTAATTTATATAAAAAGTGGTTACGTAAAACACAAGTGGTTACTTGTGTTTTCAATTCAATTTAGGTCGCTATTCGGTCAAATAACGAACTAAATTGTAGTCAAAGTAGAAAAAACAAATATAATTAAAATTCTGTAAGTATAATAATAAAATCTATTTTAATTAACAGATAACCCGAAGATATTGTCCGGCCCAGTGCTGGTCAACTCACCAAATGCGGTTTTGTCGAAAACCCTGTTGGGAAGGTACAATGACCTCCCTATTCCTGCGGACAAAATTTTGGCGACATACATCTGGATCGATGGAACTGGAGAACATCTTCGTTGCAAAGATCGTACCCTGAGCTTCATTCCAAAGCAACCCAAGGGTGAGTGTCCTCCTAAATTGCAATCATCATTGCTGGTTTGTAAACATATTTACGATGTCCATTTCCTGAAACAAAAACTCGGTCGCGGTTTTTAAATCATATACATCACTGGTTGAAACACAGAAGTGGCACATCCTATGAAATGAGTGTGGTTTTATTACATCCTCATTAACAAAGCAATTAGCACAGTTTAGGTAAATTATTCAACCTTCAGTAAAACAAGCTGATCTGTAAACAACATGGCGCCGTAACATAACAACATGTTATCTGATCATGTAACCAGTAACAGTTATTAAATATAACATGTAGACATATATCCGTTAATCTAAATCGGGATACATAATTTCTAAAACTACATAATTCTTAATACTACACTGGCTTATACAATACACAGCCAGCCATAAAATAATAATAGTCACAAATAAAAATAGCAACCCACTTCCATCACTACCACTTTTGATGAAAACTTAAAAGGTTTCAAAGCAATATTGTCCAGAAGCAGACGTATAAGTTACGATAGATTTCATTCAATATTCTTAGTTCATTGGAAAGTTGTTGTTCACAGTAAATTAAGTGTCCACGTCTGATAGAGTGCCTTCATGTTCATTATGTTAGAGTAATTGAGTGGCACTTAGGTACATAATATATACTCTGTTATACTAGTTTGTATCATTTGTGTGTAATTTATTTTTGACAGATCTTCCGATTTGGAACTTCGATGGCAGCTCCACGGGACAGTCGGACGGGCACAACTCGGATACATTCCTGTATCCCCGTGCCATTTACCGGGACCCATTCAGACGTGGCAACCACATCCTCGTCATGTGCGACACGTACAAATACAACATGGAGCCCACAGGTGCGTTCATTAAAATTCTGCACAATACAAACAAAATGCCTTTTGTCTTTCGTATTCAACAGCATTCCGCAACAATCTACGATATTATTTTCAAATAGAGTAAATTAAGTAGATTGGTTTCATGTTTCTGTTTAATCAATAAGACCGATAGGGTTTCCTTTATTTATTGTATCCATATGCGTTACATTAAAGACAGTGGCAAAAACAGCAGAATAATATCAATAATGTTTTATTATTTGAAATCTTCAGATTAAACTTAATATAGTATGTGATAGTGTGTGTGTGTGTGTGAGTATTAAGTGGCGTTATATTAGTCATCGCCGCTTCGCAATCGCAATTAATTACGCATTTATGGTAATTGCATGACAGCACGACCTGCGCATTGTTTTACTTATTTTAGATTAGGTATATTACACATAGTGCACAGGTCAGCGGTAACTGTACCGAATATGTAATGTAGCCCACATGCTGCATATTTTATATCGTGTTCCGGTCTTCCACACCAACTGAATTATGACAGATCTCTGATAATGAAAGTTGTTCTATCTTTTTCACAGAGACTAACCATCGCATCAAGTGCCAGGAGGCATATGATAAGTGCAAGGATGATGAGCCGTGGTTTGGTATTGAGCAGGAGTACATCTTGCTTGACTCGGACCTAAGGCCCTTCGGATGGCCCCCAGGTGGCTTCCCCCCACCACAAGGCCCATACTACTGCGGTGTTGGTGCCAACAAAGTGTTCGCCAGGGATCTTGTCGAGGCACATTACAGGTGAATAAATTATTCCACCAACTTGAATCTCAATATCAGATTTTCAAAAGAATACAATCTGTGGACAGAAGTATTTCATACTTAATTTTCCTTTTACAGATGTTGTCTATTTGCTGGCGTTCCCATTTCGGGCACCAACGCTGAGGTCATGCCCTCGCAGTGGGAGTTCCAAGTGGGTCCCTCTGTGGGTGTGACCGCTGGCGACGACCTGTGGGTCGCTCGCTACATTCTAAACAGGCTCGCTGAGGAGTATGGAGTCATTGTTAGCTTTGACCCCAAACCAGTCCAGGACTGGAACGGATCTGGCGCTCATACTAACTTCTCCACCAAGAAGATGCGCGAAGACAACGGTATTATGTAAGTATCAATGATATGATTGACGTTCACGTTTATAAAACTCCCTGATTTAGTTACTGAAATGTTTATTAATTATTATGTTCCATACAGCCACGCGATGTTCAGTTTAATGAAACAATCGACTTTTACATTTTAATTTATCGAATAATGCCTTTCGACACCGTTTGATGCGTTGTTTATTGTTTAACTGGCACGACTTGTAACAACGATGTAAGATAGTCACTAGACCACTACGGTTATTACCGTACTTAACGAATAATATTACATATTTTCAGTGAAATCGAGAAGGCCATTGACAAGCTGTCTAAAGTTCACATGAAGCACATCAAGGTGTACGATCCTCGCGGAGGAAAGGATAATGAGAGACGTTTGACTGGTCTCCACGAAACTGCCAGTATTAATGACTTCAGCGCCGGTAAGTGTCCAGAATTAAGTGAATGACCATCACACAACTTATTTCGAAGACAGAATACAGTAACTAATGATTTTTATTTGGTAGGTGTCGCTAACCGTGGCAGCAGCATCAGGATACCGCGGACTGTAGCCGAGGAGAAGAAGGGCTACTTGGAGGACCGTCGACCGGCCTCGAACTGCGACCCATACGCTGTGATAGATGCGCTGATGCGCACCTGCATACTCAACGAATAACAGTGGCGCATCCCCCGCCAGGCCACTCCTGCGCCACGTGTCAGCTAGCGAACACATCACCAATAAATCCGTCTATTAAGTTCGTGCCTGGTTGCCAACGCAAGCTGTATGTACCTGCACCGACGTGCGTTATTGAACCTCTTCCATTTTAGTGATATACATATACCGCAAGAGCAACACCAAGTAACGTTTTTGTATAAACATTTACCTTATAATATTAATTATTATATTCATTAGCGACGACAAATCGAATAATTATGGCCTATAGGTATTCAATAGAATAGATTATTCAATGTACACTAACTATAAAAGATAAATCAAAGGATAATAAATAATTAAACCGACACGTGATAGAGGTAGTGCGTTTAAAAGGACCATATAAGATATTAATATATTGTATAAGTAGGTAAATATTTCTACGAATATTATGTGATATTTAAAAATTGTTATTTTGATGTTAAATAGTTTAATTGTATACAAATAACCACATATCATTATTTTTAACAAATTCATTTAATGCATAGTTGCAAATTAGTTGTAGTGAATAACATGAAAGAGAACACATGAATTGCTTGACATATTATATACTAACAAGATAACTACAGATATAATTACAAAGTCCGGATGATAACGTTACGAGTATAGGATCTACCAGTATGTTAATATTAAAGGTAGTTTACGTGCAAATCATTTGCAAATATTCTAGTGGATAAAGAGAACCGCAAGAGCCTTTCAAGAGTTCAAGCACTTACGAAGTATGTCTAAACGTGAACACCATGTACACTCGTGTAGAGCACAAAATATTATATTCCTATCGTCTGAATAAAATTATTTATGCTATTATATTATGTATAAGATGTTTAAAATTGTTTTGCATGCATCGGAAATTGGTATGATTAACAAAATGTAAGCGTATAAGAAATGTTGTTATAAAATACGAGATATTATAAAAAAATAAACATACTTTGTTGTACTACTCATGGTTTTGTTATTTTTGTTTAAGTAATCCTGCCCTCATCCAGTCCTACAAAAGAATCAGATGATGATTATGATCAGAACTTTATTTGAACATTATAAATAAATTTATTTATTTATTTATTCTTTTATGTACATAATTTTATTATGGCACATAAGGCGAACTTAATGCCATATGGCATTCTCTACCAGTCAACCGTAGGGTTTAAGTAGAAAATGACGAGTTTCCCATCACAATATTTAAATGAGAAGGAGAGGAACGCATAGTTAAGTTTCAGTAATTATGTTGTCGTTTTCTAAAAATAAAAATTCATATTTACACGCAGTACCACCATCAGTGTCATGACATGTAAATAGCATAGCCAAACTTTATTCTCGTGGCAGTTTGGGCAATTTTCCATTCCCTTTTATTTATTTACATCTGCTAAACACCATTTTATCACATTGTAGGTATACGCCATCTACTATACACTCACTCACTGTTTCCTTTAGGGAACATTTGTAGTGTGGAATGGCAACATAGATGTCGCTTATCACAAATTTTTCAATCCACTACTCCGTGTTTATGCGGTCCTGGTACCGCTGGAGCCAAATTTTCAGCTGTTTCGGGCCAAGTTTTGCAAAAATGAGTTTCATAAATTTGCACTCTATCTCGATACGTTCAAGAGCTATTTTGGACTAAATCACCCATTTAACAGGTAACAGAAAGCCTTGATATGAAAATAATTTATTGCGCCATCTATGTTGCGTGTTAAAAATTAACTTAGTGGTATGTCAATTTACTACTAGATGTCGTCAGCGTCAATATCAGTACTTCGTGACATTTGGTTAGTTGCCTGTCACCGCTTTCCATGTACTCCTGGTACATTACTCGACAAAATGTAGTAGCAGCAGCGGGCAGTCGAGCTGTCAACTTCATTTGATCGAATTATACGATGACGTTAAACACATTGTTGGAGTTGTATATCGGTGTTGCGCTGTTTGTTCGTACGTAAATATACATTTGGTCGAAATCTTCTATTGTTTGAAGGTAATTAGTAGATAGGCATAACATATACTTTTAAGTACTAAAGATTAAAATGAAAATAATCTACAGGTACATAGAATAAAATCGTAGAGAAGTGAAAACTGTAGGTACATCAAATATTATTTTTAAAAATTGCTTTGGGTGTGATCTGCAATCGATACCGAAGCCAAAAATATGGTTTTTAGAAATTTTGTCTGTTTGTCAGATTGTATGTCCGGAATAAACTCATAAATTTATCTCAAATGTGTGTTCCTCCGTCAAAGGTTTAGCCTTACCATACATCGTCACCACTTGGCACTCTGGGCTCTTTAACTATTGACGTCGATGCGTACGAATTTTTAATGATCTCTGTATAATATAATATTAATATGTCTAGTCATTGTTTTCTTTTATTTTGTTTTCTCCATTAATTTCAATTTATTTTAAAAACATGTTTATTTCTTTTCTAAGTAATATAGTAATATAATGAAAGAAAAAAATATTATGAATAAAATAGAAATAGAAATAGAAATAATTTATTTGCCAAAAATGTAGGTAACAAATATGTTGGTTTTTAACTTATGGAGAATCCCAGTACATTTTGCCTTACGGCATGCAAAATTATTGAATTAGTTAAATAAAATTATGAAATACAATTTTTAAATTTAAACAAAACAAAATAATTAATAACAATCAAATCATTCATAATTAGGCACAACAAAAATTATACAATAATACTTATAATAGAACATCAGAAATTAAGATTAACAGAAACTTTCATCATCAAAAAAATCTTTAAGCGAGTAGTAACACTTGTCTAATAATAACTTTGTCAGCTGCTTTTTAAATACTGTAATGGGTAATTCTTTTAAATGTACAGATAATCTATTATAAGAGGACCCATAGAAAAAATACTCTTTTTAAGTAAAAATGTTTTATAACCACCTGTATAAAGTTGGTTTTTATATTGAGATCTCATTGGTCCTTTGCGCATTCTTAGATCCATCATTGTTGAAAACAATTGACCGTTCATCTTAATGAATAGGGCAACTTCAAGTATATACAGAGAAGTTAATGTTTAAATCCTTAATGATTTAAAAATAGGTTTACAACTTTCTATCGGTTTCAGTCCTATCATTGATCGAAGACAACGCTTCTGGGCCCTAAATATTCTTTCTCTCTCACTACAGTTACCCCAAAAAATGATACCAAACCTCAGTAATGAAGCAACTAAACCGCGATATGCTGTTACTAACGTGTTCATATTTAGCTTTTTCGAGAGGTTATGAAGAATATACGCGGTCTTGCTTAATTTTTGGCACAAAAGTACACAATATTTATAGGTTTGCGGGTTTCTGTATAATTAGTTGTGGTAATAATACGTATAATAAGAATATTATGTATAGCAACATTATGCAATTATTGAAACAATAAAAAATAAGTCTTCGTAGCAAGTCGTAGTACCTACTACGAGATGGCTACGAAGTTTCATTTTTCGACTGAGTTACTAACATGTACCTAATGAATGCGTGGGTAAACCAACACAAGTTTTACATACTAGGTCCCAGATAAATCACCTACTTCATCATTACTATCATCATCATCATTAACATCTCCTTGACAACTAGACTCCTCATCTTCTTACGAGGGGTTTATAATTATCTCATGAACCAAGTGGGTTTTTTTAAGGGGGGAAAATCATCGAATGACTGCTCCCGCCTGGGTGAGGCGGGAGGAAGTGTCAGACTCTTACTGACTAAAAACCACCCCGTTCCTTCTCCTGCACGTCGAGCCGGAGCCCCGGTTACCCGTTAGGTTCTCCGCGACCGTTAGGCAAGTGGGTTAGATGTCGCAGTTTAGAAGGTTCAGGCTTTTTTTTTAAGAGGGGGAAATCATCGAATCACTGCACCCGCTTGGGTGAGGCGGGAGGGAGTGTCAGACTCTTACTGACTAAAAACCACCCCGTTCCTTCTCCTGCACGTCGAGCCGGAGCTCCGGTTACCCGTTAGGTTCTCGGCGACAAGGTTCAGGCTTATCGGAAAGCACTGCTACCCGATGTCAGCTGTTGAATAAATATTATACCTACATTCTCTTGGAGTTAGGTTTACTCACATAAACAAATTGTAGGTACTCATATTCAACTGCTTTGCTCTGCCTCGATGGCCGAGTGGTCGCAAGTGCGACTACCGGGCAAGGGGTATCGGGTTCGATTCCCGGGTCGGGCAGTGTTATTAGTGGGTTATTTAAAAAATCTCAATATTAGCACTGAGTCTGGTACTGTGGCAATAGGCTCACTCCCTATTACATGGTACTCATAACATAAATAGTGAAAAGTGGGTGTTACATTGTACAGTGGCATAATATGCACCTCTGCCTACCCCTTCGAGGATAAAAGGCGTGATGTTATGTTATGTTATTTATATTCAACAAATGTATTCTACTTTACCGTCACCATGCGGTGGCTTAGTCCTACCTACCTTATTCTTTGTTTATTAATACCGATTTGATTATTCTGAACCTAAGCCATGTAAAGTTAATATTTCTCTAATTTATGTTCATTAAAAGAGTTAAAGTTTTAGACTCGAAATTATAATATTTAAATTATATTATAAATATTTAAACCATATAGTTTTTATATTATAAATTATAAAAATCATCGAGCAATGCTCGGGTATCCACGAACTTATAAATCAAATAGTGTATCATTTGCATTTTGTCATATCACCTGCACAAAGTAGTTACTAATCTAGGCAGTCTATGTCATGGGTACTACGTACTTTTCCATAAAATAATTAAAAATGTGTTTATTTTTTATGTCATAATTATTATGTCAAGAAGGTAAACAAATCAAAACGTTGTCCACTGTCACATTGACCAAATCAAAATTGTAATGTAAATTAATAATTTGCTGTATATAATGATGTTATGAATAATTATATTAGTCTAACGAAATTGTAAATATCTGTGTTGAGCTTTGTTAGATGTGAATCAATATTATTTGTCTTTCATTTATAAATATTATACAATTTGAAGAACACAAGATTAGAGGATTGTAAACAAAAATGGATATTACAAATATTGTTATAGACCATCGTCGGAGTAAGTGTCTATATTCATTATATGTACCGATTCTATAGTGTGGCAAGGAAAACAAAACTCTAAGTCAAGTAAAATGGAAGAAACACCTGGTTACATTCTAAAGTGGTAGAAGTAAAGATAGGTACTCATCTTTTAAACAATTCGAACGATCTGTCTGAAATTTAGTAAAACTATAATTTTAAGCCTACAATTTTAAGACAGGAAATTAGATATCTACCTAAATCCCACGGGAACAGAGCCTACGCGTTTAATGTCAAGGATTGTCTATCTTACAACTAAAGCAGTAGTATTATAAATGCCCTGATGGGCTCCACTATGAAATATAACATACTAGCTGGCCCGGCAAATTTCGTACCGCCTATAAATGTTTTTTCTCACCTTTTAAACCTTCCCTGGACTTCCACGATCATTTTAAGACCAAAATTAGCCAAATCGGTTCAGCTATTCTCGAGTTTTAGTGAGACTAACGAACAGCAATTCATTTTTATTTATATAGATTTAGTTAGGTAGTATATTATGAATAATTTCGTTAAGCATAAAACTTGATTTACCTACAGAGGACCTTGTAAAGAAAGTGCGGATCGCCAAGCAACAAGACCCGCTAATAAGTCCAATGGAAAAGTACTCCACTCTTCCAATACCTAAGGACAAGTGTTTAGCTACCTACGTCTGGGTTGATGGCACTGGCGAACAATTACGGAGCAAAGACACCACATTAAAGTTCTTACCTATAAAACCGAAGGGTAAACTACTCCTTACTTAATACTACGGAGATACGTCTATCACCGTTTCAGATATAGGTAACTTTGAAACTATGTAAAATTCAACAATGTTCAATTGCATACTCGGAAACCCTTGCTTGTTACCTGATAAACAAAGAAAAAGTAATTAACTCG